TGGCGACCACAAAGCGTTGCCCGCGCACGCAATCGTAGTTCGACAGCGTCTGGTTTGCCCTTTTCACGGCTACTATCCACGTTCTCGGACGAACGGAGGGTGCAAAAACACATGAAAACTGATCTTCAAACCTTTCCAGACTCTCTTGGCACAACCCCCGTCGCACCATTTTGACGAGAAAGCAGGTTTTTTGTCTCGTTTCTTCCAAGGGAACACAGGAATGCATGTCTGGCACGGCGACTTCTGCCCACCGCCACAGACCGGAAGTGCGTCCGGCGCGCCACCACCGCGGCGTGACGTAGGAGAGTTGAGTTGGTGTATAGGCAAATTAAAATTACAAAAACAAGCAAAAAATAACCTCCTTCATGACGTCCTTGGTCGCTTGAGTGGCCGTGAACTAGAGGAGGGGTAGTGAACTCAGCAAGCGCTCACGGCTGCCGCACTCCGTGTCGCCGGATGGAGAGGGCGCCACTAAAGCACGTTCTGGGGAGTCTGTATGAAGTGGGCAGCCAGGGCGGCTCGCATTGCATTTGCTGTGCGACTAAACACTGATTCGGCATGACACTTCATTGGCCACAAACGACAGCAAACACGAAATAAAGATCGGTTCAGAATGTGAGCCACTTCGCGTTGCCATGCCGCCAAACGGCCAAACCGCAAGCCAAACCTGCTCGCCGAAGGCCTTCGGAACGCTCGGAACCGGTCGGATCTTCGAGCCCGTATACGACCGCAGCGCCGCCGCGTACATTCAGGACCTTTCTACGCTCGCCGCTCGTCGGTGCCTGATCCAACCACCCCTTTCTAGTGTGCGCCGCGTTTCCACCGCTTGGTGGTGGGTATGTCGACGGATCTAATTTCTCGTTTCCGTACTTTATAAAGTGAATTTGTTTCTTTTCTGATCTAAAATACTGAATAAATACTACTTTCATAAATAATTGAAACGGTTCGCGCCACATATTTTGTATTTCAACTAAAAGGAAGCTTTTAGCAGCTCTGACTAGTAGTAAGCCCAAAACCATATACTTCGCTTATCGCGGGCTTTCGGCACCGCAGGTCGCCCTCGTAGGTGGAAAAGGCTTCCGCGTCGTCCGATAAAAATATGACGCACTGATATTTAGTTATTCTTTCCGTACGAGCTGGCTTGCCCGAACCTCAAGAGACATGGAAACCACAAAAAGTTAGACGCTTAAATATGATTGCAGGGCCCCTTTAACACTCTAAAAAAAGTCCGTGCGCCTACTTTCACGCACAGCACTCGGAGAACCAATCAGCGTAACTTTCGGAGGCAGCTCAGCGAATGACGATGCCGTAACATATGTTTAGACCAAAAAGCGGAGTCCGAGTTGTGACCTTAAGCAATGCAAGCGTGACGTTTTGCATTGCTTAATATCACAATTCAGACTGCGTGTTTTGGTCTAAACATACGTTACGGCATCGTCATTCGCTGAGCTGCCTCCGTAAGTTGCGATGATTGGCTCTCCGAGTGTTATGTGGGAAAGCAGAGGCACGGGCTTTTTTTTTAGAATGTACCAAGTTTCCGTACGAGAAAATGATGTCAGGTTCGTGCCGTTTGTTACTGCAAGCTCTCTTTTCTAAAGGGTTTCCGCAAGTGACGTGCTATTTCTGTCGAATTCATTTTTCCCTCACCATAACGTCGTGCTCTCATTCAGTGCCTGACTTTGTAAATGTCCTACTTACTGCAAACCCAGTTGTCGATGCAGGATGCTTTTATTTTATTACAAGTGTAGGATTAATGGCCCTCATAGAGCAACGTATTTGCTCCTCTCTGTCCTTAAAAATGTAATGGTTAAATCTAAAACCGCGATCTCGTCCTTCTCCAGACACTATTAGTGGTGTTGGCAGAGGAAGATTTCGGTGTTGAACCCCCCTCCTCCCATAATGATCAAGTCCTCCCTCCCTTTTCCCCTCCTCTTCAGACGCAGCTCCATAGTCAAACCCCTTCCCATATTGCGCATGCATAAATAGACCCCGACCCGAAAGAAATTTCTGGCTATACGCCACTGCCAGGAATATTTTTCGGGCCGGGGGGATCATGCTGGGAGGTGATTTCAACCCCGAAACGCCTCTCTACCAACGCCACTGGCCAGCTGACTCAATAGTAACGAGATAGATCTTGGATTATGTTAAGTATTGCTGGGGAAGACACCCGATGATTCTTGTTACCTGAACACCCGAATCGTCCACTAATCACACCATATCCCGATGGCTCGATCGCGTTCACGGTCAAACGTTTTGCACAGATTGTCGTATTTTAGATATGAGGTTTGCTCTGACAGACGATTTGCTACAGCACAATGGGAACAAAACAAAACAAACTTGAGGGCAAGAGAAGGACAATAATAAAATTAACTTTGTTTCCCTCAAGCTTTTTTACGTCGATTCGACAAACTGCCCTTCGACAGGCTGCCCCCTCGACGACTTGGCCTATAAGGGGTAGTCCTATTTGACAAGTTGGCTTTCGACGAATAGGCCTTCAAAGAATTGGCTTTCGACGAGTTGTCCCGATCCCGCATAACTGATACTTATTACTGCAGTTACGCTTAGATAAAAGTGGAAGCTCCTTCCACCTCTTTCCCCTTTGGCAGTGCGTTCGTTGAAGAGGAGGCGAAGAGGTGGGAGGAGCTTTCACTTTACCAGCAAAGGTAATCTTCAGGAGATTTGTTCCGATCGACATACCGTATGGTGTGAGGTTTCAATATAAAAATTACTTGCGCGTTGTGTGATGAGAGCGTGAATTTAACCAGCCTCATTTAGTGTCAGGTGTCTCCGCCGTAGGCGAGAAAGTTAGCCAGTACAGTAGCGCCACTAGCCCGCGGTCTTCAACGTGCACCACGCAGTAGTGATGCACGATCGACTACACTCCGGTATACGATGCTGCACCAGATCGAGATCGACGGGCAGTGATAGGGATTGAGCCTGCAGGATTCCTGGCACCCGCGGCGCGACATTCCGTTCCGCTTGCTCCTAGCAGCGGGGCGTCATCATATTCGGCCACCGATCCCCTATCAGTATGCCCATGAATGCGTTTAAGAAAAAAAGAATCATTACCGACAAAATACGTCCGAAGGCGACTACTGCAAGTGAAAGATGACGCAGAGTATCGAGAAAGCAGCCCGTTACTTTGGAGCTCAAGTAACGTGTTTCTTTTGAATCTCGATCACGAATGAGTAAAGGTGTTTAGTTAATAGAATGCTTTTTCTTTTAATAACGTGTACATGTTTGGTACTTGGTATCTCTCACTCGCGAATATTTCATTCCCAGAATGTCGCAGGGAAGCAGAAACAAGGTCACCACGGGAAACGATTTAACTCGAATAGTAGGGCGCAGTCGGCTGCTTTTGACAAAAACACAAAACGCAGTCTGTTTGTGTCATACAAATAGACTGTGGTTTGTGTTATAGTTACAGAGGAATGCCATCCATGTAACAAAACAGAAAAGAAATACAGTCGTCACGCGCGGAGCGGACGCGCAGCTGCTCTCTGCCCGGAGCTCCGACGAACGCGGGACGAGCAAATAGTCGTTATCTTTCTCCCCCCTTGGTGCTATGATTACTCTGTAAAAAAACAGCTGAACAACGGGAGCGCGTCAGTGCAGAGCCCAGCGAGGGCGCCGGCTCGTGGGAGCAGGTGCCGCGCCCAGCGGGGTATATAAATATAAAAAAATGTATCTTATATAATTTATTCGCATATTAGAGCATACATGCCAAACCAACTGCAAATTCTGCCCCCCCCCTTTCCCTAAATCTCCCATTTTGCTGGGGCCTCCTCTCCCCCCTCCCATCATACAGCATTTTGTCATGCCCCCCCCCCCCCCCGAATCACAGTCCTGGCTACGTACCTCCATTGGTGAGTATGGTAGATACAAAAACTTTTCTTGGACATTTTTTTTTTTTCGTGAAACTGTTCGTTTCTTTTTTTTTTTTTACTTGCGTTTTTAAGACCATGTTTCTTTATTTGCGCCTTTTCTTTATTTCCGCCTGTGCTCGCCCCACATAGCTACGCACTCCGCTACACTATGAATTTATATAACAAACTTCCAACCGAGAAAGAACTCTCGAGTGCATGTGCGCACTGTGCAATTTGGCGTTCCCAAAATTGCTGTCGTGCGGCATTTGTGTTCTTGTTAATTGTAGAATGAGTCTGGTACTTTCAAACTGTCTCTCACTTAAACTAAAACCGAAAAGGTAAATATTTTTACTGCCTTCTCGGAAAATTCAACTTTAAACATTTATTTCCCTACAAAAATCAAGTTCGATCTTCTCGATAAAAGGAACTCAGAGGATATCAGACCACGCAATGCATGTTCGAGTGCAATGCGACTCGAAACTTTCCCACAGAAAATGACTCAGTCTTCGGCAGAAATACCCCTCTTAATTCCCCCATTCTCGTTTCGGCGAAAGGAGAAGTGAAATGAGCGCCAACTCGCGCAGGTCACTGGTCGGCCCGTGGCGAGAAAATTTCCCGTCCAGCCTCGCGGCCATGAGAGGGGCTCATCTGCTCCCGTACGTCGAGTCGCTGGCACCGGGGGGCGATTTTTCACTCGCGCTTGCCTGCCTGCCCACCTCGCTTTTCGACCGAGACGCCCCTCCCCGGGAGCACACAGCTGGCCGATCATTTGTTCACCCGTACCATCGACGAAGTAGCAACAAAAAGGAAAAACGACGTTTCAGCTGACGTCGTTTTTATTATTGTTTTGTTTTTCTGTGATTCCCCGAGGTGGTGGTGGCGGTGGGACGGGCGCGGGAGCAGCAGGCGCGCCCCACTTTAAGAACGCGTTTGACCCGCATCCGCCTGCCGGCACCGCCGAGTCGCGTACACTACGCGCTCGACGCCGCCGACTCGCTGCCGTTCCACCTCGGCGACTTCGCCGCGACACCCCGTCGCCGTCCAGTCGCACCGACGAGCGCCTCGACCGAAGCCGCCGGGGGGTCGAGTCCCTTCAGCGACCTTGGCGTCTGTCTTCGGGCAGACACTGAGCCCTCGGATTAACCCCTAGTGGCCCGGATTAACCCCTTCTGGGATCGGGGACCGTGGATAGACGGAGGCTGCAGAGGCGCCCCCGTCGGGGCAACGTGGACCATGCCGGCTCCTCCGGGACCATGTTGGCTGCTCGTGCTGCTGGTCGCTACCCTCGCCTTGGCCGGAACCAGCGCCACGGTGTTTGGCACCTCCGCGTCTGTGGCGGCGGCGGCGTCCGTGTCCCAGGTGGAGGTGCCGGCCGTCCCGCTGGCCCCGCCGCCCGGCGGGGTGAAGAAAGTGATGTACTACGACGGCAAGACCCTGGCCAGGGTGGAGTACGGCCAGGACGGAGTGACGCTGCAGACCTGCCGCCTCTTCGAGCTCGAGTGAGGCGCCTCGCTTTCTTGTTTCGTCCGTTCGGACTCCGGAGTGGGCTGGTCGGGACCAAAGACCTTCTGTACTCCGTGTCACCTTGCAATAGACCACTGCGGATACTACGAGTCGTCCCACGGCCAATCCCAGGGCTGGGAACGTATCCCGCAACTGTCCCTCTCGAAGATCACGTAACACTTTCACGGCCTTGGATTGGCTTGTAGGGCTCGTAGCATTCTCTGTGATCCATCGTAATGCGAAACGCAGTGTAGATGACGAGTCAATGGGTGCAAGGGAGGAAACGCTCCAAACCCCCATACACTCTTGAAAATGCGTCACATTGCGGACGACTACACCTTTTGCAGGTTTTTTTAACCTTTTTCAGTCGTAGAATCTATAGTATTGGCTTTCCGGGTACTTTGTGGGAAAATGGACGCACGAGGGTAATTTTTGTATTTTTATATAGTGCATGCGCGTTGCCAGAACCGAAGCCACTGGTAGTTGTCCTCCTACACTAACCTGTATAGGTCTGGATAGTCATGGATCACGACGGTCTATGTATGCGTTACGTAGGCAATTAGTTAATTAGCGCAGATAACAAACAGGTCATCTTCGGCGGAGAACTGAGACTGGCAAAGGGAGACAGCCTGGTGGCCCTGGACATCAGTCATGTTTTGCTCGTTTCATTCGTTTTTCTCAACAGCTTGATCTTTTTTAGTCGCATTTTAAAGTTCTGCATTCCAAAGTGTACAAGAAAGATAATCGTGCGTTTGCAAAATATTGCTTGTGACAAAAAAAGAATCGGCATGTTACTCGAAAATATTCTTGAAGTGCTGCTACGACTTCCGGAAAAAGGCCGTCCACTTGTCGGCATCAAATTTGCCGCAGTTAAAACAAAATCCCGCGCACCAGTCATTTGTCGGTTTGTGTCGAACATTTGGTTAGTGGCCCTTGACGTCAATTTCCAACCCTCAAGGAGAGGCACGTACGGTATAATTTGTAACAATTTTCGCACAAGCCTCACATTTTCGCATTAATGGGCCTATCGATTGGTAGTGCGGTTTCTTTGAACCAGGTCGATCATTTCTAACGCTTCGAATGAAAATGAACATATAAACCACCAAAATACGGATCTTGAAAGGGCCTCGATATGGTGAAAGCGCGTTTGCAAGCAACTTTTTGGGGCAATTACAAGAACTTCGCCGCTTGCCAGAACAAGCTGTCAATCGTGGCTCTGCGACTTAATTATCAAGAGCAAATCAAGAAACCCTAAAGCCTGTAGCGCACTTGTAGAGCACTCTCGAACACTTATTCATTGGCGCCCGTTGGAATATATCTCTCGATCCTTGGCACTGGCAGAATTTTAATGCGGCTTCTGTGTTGTACTCACCATGTCTGCAAATCCCTGGCATCAAATTGATGATTCTAATATACTTTTGTTATTTATAAATAATTTAGGAGCCTTTTTTTTCTATATTTCTGGTACAGGGTGCCCTCAAATGACCTGGACCAGCGGCGTTCATTCCGGGGCAGTACAAAAGCCATGCGTGAAAGAACTCCGACTTCGTTAAACTGTAAACAAAGCAACCAAAAAAAAAAAAAAACGATATTGGATTGGACTGCCACATTTCCTGTTGTGGCAATATTTTGGGCAGTTCGTATCATATGCCGCATGCATGCCCATGCGGCATTTTACCCGTTTAGGTGAGCACTAAGCTGGGCCAGCTCATAGTGCCGCTGTGAGATCATGCCTGGATGGTTGCTGACTATTTCAGACATAGGGTGGGGACTTGGTTGCTGAGGAGCTTGAGCAGATCGTGCTTTCGTGAAACAACACCTGTATCCGGTCTCCTTCTTGCCCTCTGTTGATTAAAGTAACTTAGCGCCATCAAACTTTTTATGGTCACCGATTTCGATAAAACAGAAAACTTGGACTATGTATTAAGTGCACTTTCCCGCGCACTCTAATCTACCTCGCTAAAAAAATTTAATTTCTTTGGCGAAAATACATTTCTGAAGATTTGCCTTTCATATATCTTATAAGAAAGTCAGTCGTATATCGGGCTCACACTGCTTATATTACATCATACAAAAGACAGGCTGCATACAGATTCGAACGCGAGTCACCGCTAGATCCGTGCTTCGAATGCCACGTAGCAATTAGTTCAAGGAAAAAACGTGCCATGCGGCATTCGAACCACGGATATTCCGATGACCCGTGTTTGCCGACTTTCTTTTGTGCGATATATGAACAGTGTAACCCCGGCTTTGGTCGTACAACAAATGCTCGCGGACATGTTCGGAGCATACATGCTCCGTGTCTACAGAGAAAAGAGCGTCTTATGCATGATGTTTATGGGCAGTGTGTGACAGCGTCTCTGGGAGAGAATTCAACCGGCGCATTCAACTTGCCAGCAGGAATCAATTACGCGGTGCTGCGTCTCTCGGTACAAAATCGCCTCCCTCGCTTTACATTCCTCGAGGGAATCATCAGTGGGTCAAACCGACGGGTCTTTCGGTCGGGGTTCCTGCGTCTGATGTCTCTTCCCCTGCGGACGCAGTGACGAGCGCGAGGCGGAGCCCATCATCAAGGCGCAGGGCCTGCCCGTGCAGCCCGTGGACCTGGCCACCATGCTGCGCCTCATCTCGCAGTGCAGGGAGCTGCGCGACTGGACGGCCAGCACCAACAGCACGCTCCAGTGGAGCGCCTCTTCGCTCTGGAGCGGCATCATACCCGGTGAGAAGGGACCCCGTGGCGCCATTGTAAACTTCCCTGTTTTTTCTTCTCATATAACTTTTTTTTTCCTTCAATATCAACGTTAAATGACGCGTTGAAAATAAAATGCGAGATAACTATACTGCCAGGACCCGATTACGAGACGGAATGTCCAACGAGCCTGAATGTCCAACGAGACGGAAGATGCAATAATGGATATTCAGGCACGTTGGACATTCAGGCTCGTTGGACATTCAGGCTCGGTTGGATCTTTCGTCTCGATGGACATTCAGGCTCGTTGGACATTCCGTCTCGGTTGGATCTTTCGTCTCGTTGGACATTCAGGCTCGTTGGACATTCCGTCTCGGTTGGATCTTTCGTCTCGTTGGACATTCAGGCACGTTGGACATTCTGTCTCGCCTGTCACGTGCTAGAATAATTTTCCTTCTTAAATGTACAAACTTGTGTGCATATTTAGTCCGCGTTCCTGCAGGCATTTCTGTAGTTTCATCATACTAAAATGTCGTGCCACAAAGCCGACGTGGACGGACCGACAAAGAAACAGAGCAGACACAAATATTATAATTTCATCTATAGGAAGGCTTGGTGGTTATTGAGCTGAGTGCCGATGCGCAGCTATGTACCAGTCGGTTAAAGGTGTCGATTGTACGACGCCAAACACTCCTTTGATATTAAGATTTCAAATGTTTCGAATGTTCCGATGACATAGGTCAGCCAGTTTGAAATCTAGAATAGGGATGCAATGTCCGGGTATTCTAGTGCGTCGCAATTGGGGGACGTCTATGAAAGCCGCGCTTCAGATCCCAGGGATTTCTAGTTCAGTTCTCATCCCTGCCCATTTCGATTTATATAGATGAGCTACATACGGAGACCCGCATTGTAAACACATGACCACCCGCCAGCGCCACTGACTATGCGCAGAGTCAATATTTATTTTTTTTTTAAAGGAGCTTTGGGAGCTGTGGGTGCGAGGCATCAAGAGTTTGCACAAGCGTAATTTCCCACTAATAAAAAATATAGATATCTTTTTTAAAAATAAAATCTACATCTAACGCGTCTATAAATGCAGGGGGGGGGGGGGGGGGGGGTGTCACCCGACAATTCCTGAGTAAATGCAGAAAAATTGGGTGGATTTGACAAATTTTTATTTTTGTTCGTTTATCTCTGGAACAGACTACTACTTACTGTACACTGCAGTCGTCAGTAGTTTACATACGCTTATGGCCTGAATGTCCAACGAGACTGAATGTCCAACGAGCCTGAATGTCCAATCGGTCACGTGACAGGCGAGACGGAATGTACAACGAGACGAAAGATCCAATCGAGACGGAATGTCCATCGAGCCTGAATGTCCAACGAGATGAAAGGTCCAATCGAGACGTAATGTCCAACGTGCCTGAATATCCAACGAGACGAAAGATCCAACCGAGACGGAATGTCCAACGAGCCTGAATGTCCAACGAGTCTGAATATCCAACGAATATAGAATGAACCTTGCAAAGAGTTTAGAAAACATTTCTTTGTTGAATTGTAGGATTACTGATAGTTACGGCGGTGAAAAATGCGTTCGATGAAATCGGGAACCGGACATTTCGGTGCGGAGATATCGGTACGCGATCATTTCGGTATTCGGTCGCTTCGGCACTGGGCTTTTCAGTACCGGGATTTTTGATGCACGGCTATTTTGATATGCCGCTGAGCTTGTCCCACTGACGTTGGCTCTGTGAAGTCCCCAAAATGAAATTAAAATTATGCTCGTATATTTTGTAGACTTCATAAAATCCCGAAAACAATTAATTTATTGTTCGTTTTATATATCTAAATATAAAGATGATATCTATAATTTAAAAAAAAGACCTTTAAAAGCTCACACATGCTACAAGATCAAAGACCGAACTCGTTGACCATTGACAACCTGTCACGCGTTTGATTTTAGAAGGTCGTACCTCTGGACCGGAAACAAATGTGGGACCCACGAGCGTCCTCGGTAACCGGACAAAAGCTCACCGGACAAAAGCTCACCGGACAAAAGCTCACCGGACAAAAGCTCACCCGTTTTTTGACAGACCCGGACAAAAGCTCACCTGTTTTTTGACAGACCCGGCAAAAGCTCACCTCGATTTCTTTTTTTTTTTCCCTACCCGGGCGAAACACGGGCTGAAATAAAATGCGGACGCAATAAACATTGGACCATTTTTAGGAGAACTTGTACCTCATCCACCATTGAGTTGCGAATTTTTTAAAAAATACTTTGAAAGAACGGGAGTTTGGCCTGTTGGAAAAGTACAAGACAGATGACCAATTTAGAAAATTGTGCGGGATTTTAGATGGGCTCAAGTTCCTTCCACCACAGCTTGCTCCACAGGGAAAAGTCTACCGGTGACATCGGCTACCTGCTGGACTACTTTGATTGCACGTATGTCAACGGCCGCTCCCGTTATGCTTCTGTTCCATCTGCGGCGCAGACATGTACAAATTACTCAAAAAAGGTAGTTAAGTTAAGTTACTGAGTATCGACGCCAAAAGTAGTTGAAGTAGAGTAGAAATTACGCATTTGTAATATTAATTGAGTAAACTACTAACTACTGTAAAAAAGTAGCGAATTACCTTGAAGTTACTTTCGAAGTTACTTTTTATGTTTTTGTGGCAGCAAAATGAACAGAAGTTTTGATCAGTGAAAAACCCTGCGAGCCGGAAATAAATGCAGTCATTTTATGACTTCCAAAACAAATTATTCGCTCGCCGAAGCAATTGTCTTCCAAAGTTGTTATCGGAGAGTTTTCCTCTTTCCCTTCTAATAACGTCCTCGGTCAAGCTAAAAAGACGTTCCACCGTGGCGCTGGATGCAAAGACAGCGTTCAATTCAGAAGCAGGCTGTGCAGGGTCGGGTAAGCGAGTGTCGGCATCTTTGGTGTCCATGACGAAACATGTGAGGCTTGCCTCGGCTAGAGGGTCTTTTATAACAAACTCTTCTCTTTTTTTTTCTTTTTTTCTTGGAAAAGTTAAGATTGTTATGACTGGCCCCTCTTTATTCTCACGACGTTCGGAGATTTCGCCGAGCGAGTGCACCTGACCGTCAAGGGATCAAGTCTCGCGCCACGACGATGAGATCATCAGGACGACTGCGCGTCTCGTTGCAATGTTATAGCTACGCCACTTAAAAAAAAAAAAAAAAAAATTGTTTTTTGCCGTTGACGTTGGGTCCAACAAAAGGATCTCCCAAGGGTGACTCGAAATCCTCGCCGGCGACTACGGTATCCTGACGCGCCTGACAACTAAAACGTTTTCAACAAAGAGGAGGTCTCCCTGGCGTGGAAGGTCGGAAGGACGCGAAGGATTACGTGAACAAGCATCGGCGCACGTACAGTTGCAGCTGGAAGCGTGAACGTGCTCCCATGAACGGATTATCCGTGTCTGCGTTTATGCGCGGGGGAGTCCGCTTTGCAAGGGAGTATGCGCTGACGACGAGGCGACCATGAGAACAGGCGCCCAGCTGCGAGGTCATCCCAGTGGCGCCTACCGTGGAACCTACCACTTGAGCCAGAACTCACTAAAGGCACACCATGAAAACAACAACAACCCTCGGAGTGTCACCGTCTTTCACGTTTGCAGCTGGAAACGCGGCGCTTGCGTGCATTATCGGATTACGTCAACACCCGACCAAGGCTTGTCAAGCATCTCTGACTGCGTTCGTGCGCGCCGGTGTTATGTTTTGGCTGCTCGTCGTCGCCACCTTGGCCCACGGACGCCTGTGATGCAGTTTCTAGGGCTGCCGAGTGTAAGTGCGTGGGAAAGGAATGTGAGGGGGCCCCTTGTTCGTGAATGCCACTTAATCTGCCAGCGTCTTATTTATTTGTGCACTCAAACTTTTGTGATGAAAAAAAAAAAAAATAGGACTAAACTTCGAAAGTAGTTAGTAATTTGAGTAGAAGTTACCCAACAAACGTAGTTAAATTAAACTACTAATTACCCAAATAGAGTTGTAATTGAAAGTTACCAAGTTACTCGGAAAAGTAGTTAAACTACAGTAGTTTGAGTAGAGTAGTTGAACTACGTCCAAGTCTGCTGCGGCGGCACCCAGAGCGAATTCTTCCCTTCGCCTGACTCTGCGCCGCGGCGATCGGAGTTTCCCCTGGTACGCTGGAATATGTACGACACCGCTCTTCAAGATAAAAACCGGATGAACACCTGCGAAAGATAGAATACCGGGTTCCAGAAGCTCGTCGGCCACGCCCATCCAAGCGTCTGGAGGCTGATTGAATGCCTACACCAAAATCAGGCGCTCGTTGCCACGGCATTGACAAAAGCCCGGAGAGGTGAGCCCATCGTGACTTAAACAGCGCAAATAAGCCAAGATGTCTATCCAACTCGCCCAGCAACTCATCTTGAGGTGAGCCCACCGTAAAGCGGGTGCGAAAAAATTACTCTGCACCTGCAGAATAGTCTTAGAAATATTTGCGAGGGCTTGCATGTACATCTATATCTACCAAGACTGCTGGAGCTAGTGGGGGACTGCATTTTCTCTTTACCAATCAATAAATGAACTTGTTTCTATTAAAATCAACAAACCATGCGCCTGTCAGATTTAATTTATCGTTGCCTTTTTGTGTCGCACGCATGCACCTAAGTTGTCCGCACTCGTGTTAAGACCAACATGAAATTTTCTCGTGGTGAGCTTTTGTCCGGGTCTCTAAAAATATCGGTGAGCTTTTGTCCCGGTCTGTGAAAGAATGGGTGAGCTTTTGTCCGGTGAGCTTTTGTCCGGTGAGCTTCTGTCCGGTGAGCTTTTGTCCGGTGAGCTTTTGTCCGGGATTCAGCGTCCTCAGCCACCGTTTTTCCGTATTGTACGAGTTGCTATATTTTTCTTATTCGTGTCCCTAGTCCCGCAAAGATGATGTCCCTCGCATGGGAGAAAAGCGCCTGACTGAATTTTTATTATTATAATTATTATTAGGTGCACTCGGTGTAGTATCTGTAATTACTTTAAATTGCAGTTTTTG